AGGGTTACGCTGTCGTGGGTGGCACGTCTGTTCTCCGCTCGCAGTGCGGCCATGTTTTCCTCCATCGCAGCCAGACGGTCCCTCAGACCAGTGCACTCCCCAACACTGCGCGACTCAACAGCCTCCAGTGTCTGCTGCAGTTCACGGCACCGCATGCGAAGTGATTCCACCTCGCAAGCAGCGCTCTCAAGCTCCTTTGCACGTTGCTGGGCATCACTCAGCTCCGCTCGCAGGGTTACGCTGTCACGAGTGGCACGCTTGTTTTCTATATGATCCTGCTTGTGTTCTTTTTGTTGTTGTTGTTGGTGTTTTGTGGCGTTCTCTATGGATGTTTTATCAGGTATTATATCTTGGTCTATGTTAATATACACAGAGTCATTGTTGTCATTTCTATTATTATTTATATCTATTTTTTGTGTTTCACAAGTATTGTTGTGTTGTAACCGAAGTTGGGTAATTTCAGTGGATAATTTGAACAGTTCAGCACAAGCCTCGTCCCGTTCTCGCTCAGCAGTTTCAAGATCCTGTTGTAGCGATTCCGTGTATCCTGTCCAGTATTCGTTAAGGGTAAGTAACTTTCGCTCATTTGATGTTTCATCTATAATTGTACACTTTTTCATTGCCTTTCTCCGGTAATGCTCACAATCATTTTGTGTCGTTTCGAGGGCATCGCGGAGTCGACGGAGTGTAACATTGTATTCTTTCTCTGTGTATATGGTTTGTGCCTTTAAGGAACTCAATTGTTGTGAAATCTCTAGTATTTTTATTTCTTTTTCTATACATGTACTACACTGACGTGGGTTTTTTAATGTTAGATGGCGGAGCTCCCTTTCCAGCATATGTACGCGGTTTGCTAACCACTTCTGAACATCCTCAAGATAGGATGTGTGATCTATACTTTTTTTGGATTCAGAGTTTTGTACAATTGACATGGCCTTTACCCCAAAAGCAAGAGCAAGCCCAGTGTCATGAATTTTTATGGGTGATTGTGATATACATACTAATATATTACAGCTTCCTCCTCTTCCCAATGGTTCTTGTAGTAGACGAGTAAGTTTACTGTCACGAAATGGTACATGTGTTTTTTTAGGGTCTGCTAGTGCATTCATCACGTTTCTGAGAACAGCTAGTGATTGATTCATTCTTATAGGGGTTCCCTGATCGATAGCAATAGTATCAGATTCCCGAAGCCGATCACTTCCTGCAAGATCTACAATACAGATACGACCATCCGTTATAAAAGAAGAAGAAGAAACATTGTCATCATTTAAGCATGACACTTCTTCAAATCTAGAATCAATCCTACGGCGTCGTTTCACCCTTAAATTTATCACACAATGACTACCTTTAGATTTTGAACTATTGAGGGGTGTGGTTCCACGGAAACGAGAAGTTGCTATTTTTTCCCAGATTTTATTAAATTCTTCTAACGAGGAAATAGACAATTGTGTAGCACCACGAACATATACACCAGTATCGGGAAATTCACGAAGTTGTAGATCATTCTTTGACGGATCAATAAGGTCTGAAATACACTCTAAATATATTTGGACGCATTCCAAGGTAATCGTCGTCTCGTATTCAATTCTTTCTGAATCAGCTATTTGTAATAGCAATTGAAGAGCTACTGGAATTATCTGATTCATTGTGTATGACTTTCCACCTCCAGTTGGTCCGTATAGAAGAAGTGCTTTTTGCAAACCCTTAAGTGCCCCTTGCACCATTCCTACTACTACCGTGTTGCAGATATGATGTAGAGGAATTGTCGGATCAAAGACTCTGTCAAAGCGATAACTGTGGTGGTGGCCAATGAGTACCCGCTGTTCATCTGTGTTTATCAAGAGATAGTCATCCTCGTTTTCTTCTCTCACCCTCTCACCCTCAAGGAGAGGACGAACACGCACAAAACACTGTACACGATGAATAGTCATCGTGACAGCTATATTTAAGTTTTGATGTCAACCCTGTGATATACCACCTTTCCCAAAGAAAGAAAACAAAAAAAAAAAAAAAAAAAAAAAAAAAAAAAAAAAAAAAAAAAAACGTTGAGGAACAATAAAGAGAAATTGTGTTTGTGTGCACATATTTTTTTTTTTTTTCCTCTCTAATCATGTAAAAATGAAAAATGAAAAATAAAAACAACAGCTCCAACTTTCTTTGTCTGTTTCTTTATTTTTATCTTTCTTTTCTTCTTCTTTTTCTACACTGTACAAACCTCTAAGATAGACCCGTTACTGGGTATTCAAGTTTCCGAAACGTTGTCCACAGTACTGGGGAAACAGAGGGCTTTGGCGGTGGTTCCTTTACCCAATGCTGTTGTCCCACCATACTACCCTCTTGTGAGTTCATCCTTCCGCTTTTCTCCCTCCTCTCACGTTGGTTTTGTAAAACACTAGTAATGAGAAATGGCGGAGTTCGAATTCTTCTTATATCACAACGATAACGTATCCAATTTTCATCGTCATCAGTTTGTAATACAAATATATCTTCTGTCTTATTCATGACAATAAGTTGGCGGTTGTACACAACAGAAGCGATATGTTCCAAGGGCCAATGCTTTAGACAAAATGACATTGGACGAGTTTCAAATGATAAGAGTGATATTTCCATCGCATCACGCTGGAGAACAAGTTCAAGAGTAGATTCATCTACCGAAAAACCACCAAGTACACAGAGATTATTACCGCAAATATGCGATTTGTGCATAACGCGAGCATTCACCACATCACCTCTGCGGTAACATTCCATCGTTTTAGAGTTTAAAAACCATAAATGATTGTTAACAGCAATGGTAGGAACTTCTTCACCCTTTTCATCCATTTCAAGAGTTGTTTCAAATCCACCAAATATAACAAGGGCATCATTATTAAGCATTTGTGCGGTGTGGCCCCATAATTTAGGAAGTAATGGTTGCGAGAAGACGCGCCAAACACTTGAAGCAATATCAAAAATATAGACAGCAAAAAATCCATTTGCCATCATATCCCGCATTTCATATGATGTTACCTCATCTCGCAGCGGTTTACCACCAAAGACGATTAACATATTATCATTCACCGCTGTCATCGTATGGTGTGAGCGGGCTTGCGGCTTCCATGCGCACGACAGTCGTTCCCATCGCAGATCGATAAGGTTAAGAGCAAAAAGATCCATTAGGTCGTGTCGTAGTGTTCCCATCGAAGATTGAGGGACCTCAAGTAAGGGATATTCTCCACCACAAACATAAATTCGTGATCCACACTGTGCAGTGGCATGAAAACGAGTTGGTGGAGGAAACTCACCTGAACAGAGTTCCTCATACCACACAAAAGACGATAAATTTAGCCACCATAGTCTGTCAGTCAATATACCACTTAAAAGTAGAATATTATCATGGTAAACAAGTGAACTAGTACTATTAAAAGAGTCTGTACATTGCATTACTTACTATCTAATGTGATTGCCCTTTAGGTTTGCACACTGCTACCATTATTAAACATTCAACATTATATATATGTATGTAATAGAAAGAGAAAGAATAAGAAACATGAATATAATGAAAAAAAAAAAAAACAAAACAATTTATAAAATCAAGGTAATCTCTTGATTTCTTTTTTCTTTCATTATTTTTTTCCCTTTGCCTTTACAGACATCGCCCTTGTAAGTACCAGTACAGCTTTACTGAAATCGTGTGTAGTGATGCGGCTTCCCTCCACATTGCATCACAGTGCCCTTGAAGTATTTTCAAATCTTGAAAAATCGTCTCTTATATACTTGAAAAACACTTGGCTTTGTCATTCATTCACTTTCTCCTATCATATCTCTTTTTTGCTTTGCTCTCTAAATTCCTTTTTATCATCACAAAACAAGGCCGTAAAGAAAGTTTGGACGGAACAGGAATAAATTGCACCTCTTATTTGCGCTGGGGATATTTCGCTAATCCCTCCCCCAAAACAAGAAATAATTCAAGAAGAAAATAATAATGACGATGATGATAAAAGTAATGAAAACAAAAAGAAAAAAACATGCACACAGCGTAAAAAAAAAAAAGAAATATCCTAGAATCGTTTGTGGTGGCCAAATATATTGCCGATACCATACAGAAAGAGAAAAAGGTTTGCAAGGCACGGAATTTGTGCCACGCAAGAAAAAAAAAAAGAGACCAATTTCTATTTAAAGAATCAAAGGGAGTACGCGCCTGCGCGAAAGAACGTGGAAAGAAAAAAAAAAAAAAAGAGAAGGAAAGAAAACAAGCAATCAAGTGAACAACATCTGAAAATAGTTACATCTTTTTTTTTTTTGTTTGCTTTTCCATCTCGAATGGAATCCATATATTTTATCCTCCGTTTTTATTTTTTTTTTCACTTCTTAATTTACCTTTCTACACCGTCTTGTTACAACGCAGTTTTTTTTTTTTGTTGTTGTTGTTGTTGTTGTTTGTTTGTTTGATGTCAGAGAACGTTTAGGAGAGCCTATTTTTGTGCTAGATCTCCCTCTCAAGACGTCCTTTTTCTTTTCTCGCTTAGTTCAACATTTTTGTTTTCCTTTACATTAATATATATTATTATTCGGTTTCACTCGCTTGCTTGATTACTACCGTCCATCGTGTACACGCGCACCTTTGTACAGAAATGTACGTCTATATAATATATATATGTGTTTTTCATGTTTTAACTTATTTTTTTCTTTTCTCACGTCTTTCCCCAGACCACATCTATCCTTTTCTTCTCGTTATCCCTCTTCACCCCATTTACTCTTCCTTTGGTTTTACCTAATTCATACATAAAGAAGGGAACAAAAATAAGTGGGAGTGCTATACATACATGTTTTCTCCCTATTCACGGGGTGAAGTATGGCTTGTGTGGCGTCCGCTGCTCCGCCCGGACCCTCGTGATCGGCGCTCCAATTCTCTGATAGAGTTTGCGCGGTTACGGAAACTTTCACGTTTCTCAAGAGGAATGTGGTCCTCTGTTGTTGTGTTACGTGGGGGGAACCACGGTTGCTTCACCTGCGGGATCTTTCGTGTGGATAAGTGCCCAGTTAGGGAGGGTTCATCAACGCTGCGGTACCGGAGTCCACTGTCACTTCGGCGCGGTTCTGATTGGTTACCTGAACGTGAGCGGGACATGGCCTGGTTAGAGGGAGATGTCAGGCGGCCCTTATCACCACTCTCTACGGGATATTCAACCTTATCTGAAAGTTCAGGGGTTCGTCTGACAGCCATTGGGGGTTTGCTGGCACTCCCTATATTCCGCTGCTGCGTCTCCTCACGTTGCTCAGAAGGAGTAGTACCCTTTCCAGTAGGAGTTCTGGATCCTGCTTGATCACCAGATCCCTCCTTAAATGAGACCTCCTTTTCGTCCGGCCTTGCGTATTTATCCTTATCCATTTTGGATACACTTGAGTCCTCCTTCTCCAGTGGAGTGGTTTCACCAAGCACTTCAACTCTCTTCGTTGGCCGCTTTGAACCTTCTTCTGAAGCCTCTTCTGGTCCCCTGGATTTGCTTCCTGCGGCGGTCTCTCTGGGTGTTCTCTTGGCAGGGACTGGCTCTTCTTCTTCTTCTTCTCTCTGACCTACATTCTTTGCCTTCTTAACATCCCCTTCACCAGCAAACCTTTCTCCCTTCTCACCCTTTCGCTCGTCAGGCTTCATACCCCCATGCTGTTGTTCTACATAATCATCCTCGTTCTCGTCTGATGCATGTTTCCCAGATGAAAGTTCATCACCATACTTCTCCTCTGATTCCTCTTTTCCACGGGAAACACCTTCAGAACCACGTCCCCGGAATGGCTCCTCATCACCAGAGCGTTGCTGCTCCTCTGTTGCGTGCTTATCAGATGAAAGTTCGTCACCATACTTCTCCTCTGATTCCTCTTTTCCACGGGCAACACCTTCAGAACCACGTCCCCGGAATGGCTCATCATCACCAGAGCGTTGCTGCTCCTCTGTT